ACGGCAAACAAGTCTATAAGCCGGCAGTTGACTTCTGACTCCAAACTACCATGACCTAACTGTATGTTATATTCGACTACTTCCACAGTTCTCACCTCACATTTTTTCTACCTTTGTGCCTGTCTCTTTTACATCTTCGAAACACTCTTCTATTCCCCCCCCCCTCTCGAATTTTTCACTGGAGTCAACTAAAGGGCTAATGATAACTATCAAAACGCCTGTCATTTGATATAAATAAATGTTGTTATCCTAAAGTGACAAAAACAGACAAGACTCTAAACTATGCCATATTTTGAATTAAAATATATCAAAGGACATGGCAAATATGACTTCGCTTTCCTCTACCATCATGTATAGTGAACACTAGAGTGGGACTTTGAGTTGAATTCATTTATGAGACAACTACCGGTAGCGTGTAAATATAAAATGGTTTGTAACGTAAATAAAGTTACTCGGTAAAGAAAATGTTCTGACATTTTGAATAAATCAACAAAACGAGGCATATTTGCACATTTGCACATCTCCATTTTGTTCACCTGGTTTCATAAATGGTGCAGATGGCAAATTCAGGTGATGAGTTAGTGAATTTTTCATTTCACGAAAGCTATTTGTGGATCTTTAGGATATTAGGTAAAACTTATTATTCAATATTACATAAGTAAATTTAGTGTAACTTTTATATCTGGTTTTGTGTTTTGGCATTCACGCCAGAATTAAGAGGAATTTGTACAATTTCAATTCAAAAGAAACATTTCGAGGACAAGGGAAAAACAATTAATTGAAATAAAAATCGATGTCAGTGTAAATTCTTTCATTTATGCGTTAATTGCATTTTACATTTCTTAGAAAATGTTAATTATACCTTCTGATTTGGATTAAAATCAGGTAGTGAAGTAATTAAAGCATTAGCTTTGCAGTGAAATTTAATTATTCAACAATATTTGTTATTTCATTGATAATGGGATAATTAAATCAAGGAGAAATATGACGTTATTTCAAATTATAGAAGCCGCGTTAACTTTGGCTAAAGTGAAAAATTAAACTGGGTTTCTGATTTCGTTAAGTAGGTGAATTAAGCACATGAAATTTCACAAATTGCTTTAGCAAAACAAACTCGTTGTAATGAATCGCACCATTTGTTATTGTGGCAATAACTAAAGCTTCCCCGCGCTTTAATCATGAACTAGTATCAGAAAACACGAAATACTAGAATGAACTTTGTGGTGGGGGAGGAGGGGTGGGTGGATATTAACTTCATGTATATTAAGGAGTTAGTTCGAGGTGGTTCTTACATTATTCGGGGAGTTGATTAAATTACATGTTAATGTTCAGGTACCACAACACACAATTTCTACTAAATGATCGCCCAAATACCTGGTAGTGAACATTCCCACAAAATTCAGTTCTCTTTAACTACTTTGTTAATTTCAATAATTACCGTCGTATCTTCTTACACTCAACCAAGAAAATTATACTAAAATTAGCAAATGGAAGAGGAACATTTTAAAGAATATTCCCATTTTAAAAATAAAGCAAAAAAAATCAAGTAGATTTGCATAAATAGTGATTTTTTATTACATAAAGCAATATGTCTAACATCCGTAGATCTCTATGAGATGGACGATGCCCAATTAGGAAGTCACATAGCAAATTCGCGTGTTCACGGACATTCTGCAGAGATTCCGGATCTTCCGCCATTTCAACGGCGATGCATTCATACGCTTGCGGATATCATCACTTCGCCTTACACACTCGGACTTCCCGCCCAGATAGGAGTATTCCTTCGTCCCGACCATACTAAACGTAGCGCCTTTAATAAGCAGCTTTCGAGTGAGTACCAAATTTTCGTTTATTTTTCTTCCACTTTGGTCAAAACGAAACCATATATACTTATGTCAAATGAATGCATGCTTTTGAATACGACGCCATTTCACCAGGAAGAACTTTAGAATATATATATATATATATATTGGGTTTTAAGTAAACCGAATTTCTATTTTTAATCTTGAAGAATTAAGGCTCTTGATATGTTTTAACTCAGTATTTAGGAAGATTAGTTGATCATGGAATAAATGAGAGCTATTTTTTGTATGCGTTGGTTCTTCACCACGCCACCCATCTTTTATTTAGTTGGTGAATGACAAAGATTTAAACCCACTTAATAGTCAAGGTGATTTAACATATTTCGGTGAAATATGCGAATTATCAGATTGGTAGAAATTGATTCGTGTCATACTATTTTGCAGAAAAAGTTAATTTTCCGCATTAAGAAATGGATCTTGCCTGTCTCTTACACTGAAGCTTGGCGAAATAATAGCAATAGCTGCATTTCTTGAGGGAAATTCACTTTTGGGAGGAGAATATTTTCAAAGTTACTAATTACCTGAATAATAATAGGAATCAGTGTGCATAAAACTAAAATCCACTTAGAATGACAATCTAATCAGTGATCTCACTCAACGAATTGATCGTGAGCTCTCCTTCGACGTCAAACATTGTATACCAATTTTAAATCCGTAAGTTGACTTTAGTCTACATAGTCTGTTACTACACATTTTTAAAATGTATAATTTAAGAAATAATTGGAAACAAGTGATGGACATGTTCGTGCACCATACTGAAATCCCACTTTGAGTACATTTAGGGGCTCTATGGAGTAAGTTTATGCATTCAAATTAAAGGCTTGCCTCCTAATTCCATGTAAATCTCGATTGGCAGTGGGAAGTACCACTCAGAAAACACGATATCCCTAAAAACAATGCAGTTATTTAAAAAACGGTATTTTTATACTCGGTTATTCTTTTGCCTCCTTGATTGGTAGCAAAAATAGCTCAGTAAATTTTAAAGATAAAGCATCGTTTTGTGTGATTTTAGTAAATAGATTGCTAACAGCTGGGATCGTAAATTAAGGTGGAATTTAACATGATTTAAATGAATTGTAAAACAATAGTAAAATTTGAATTATTACGTTTCAGATCTTTAGATTTAATGCTTGAATTGGTTAGTTTCCAACAAAATGCTTCCATTGTTATACTAACAACATGACAAGTTTATTTTAAATTTAAACTTTGAGTTTTATTGCTTTGAATAGTGACCAAATCAAGATCGGTATATTTTTGTCATTCAAAAAAATGAAACCAGTTACTTCGTTAAATTTATTCTCATATATCTTTCCTAATTTTTGTAAGCTTTATTTCAAGGGTCGATTGCTTCTAAAAAAAACACTTTCAAACTTTAATTCGTCAGATAAATTTAAAGTAATAAGAAGATTTCATCCTAGGGTTGGAAGATTTTTATGATTTTGGACTAAATTTAATTAATTCAATGTAAGCTTCCCAATAGAAATACGTTAATGTGAAGGTCTTTTTTCCTATTTTAAGCCTACCTCAAGACCGCCTACCGTCGATTAGGCAAAAAGCCTAAGGACTTGCACCGAAAATGGGATATTTTAACCACACTTCTGCCAACTCTTTTCGTTCTTTTATTCAGCTATTTTTGTGGTCTCATTTTTGGTTGGCAACTTGGTCAAACTATCGGCCTCACCTCCATCATTCTCTACGTTCTATTTCTATGTAAGTATATCTCTAGTCATTGTCTGTTCTGATCATGTAAATGCCCTGTTGAAAGCGCTTTCACTACCTGCAATTTTTTTACAGGCATTTTAAGACCCAATCGAAATAGTCGTTAATGGCTATTTTTTGCTGGTTTTGAGTAAACTTTTAAAAGATATTTATTTGCCTTTCAGATTGCAGTTTAATTTGAATTTCAGATGCTTTCATCTCTATTTTTCACTTAAAATTTGCCCAATGTTTGCTAATAAAACGGGATAGATTATAAGCTAAAACTGATCAATTTGTGTTACTGAGCAAGTTTGATTCCGTAGAGGTTGGAGCAGTTGAACCGAGGGGGTTGGCATAAAATATTGGAGTGTTACTAGTCAAATTTAGCACCTTCAATTAATAATTTTGAGGTGCGGCAAGTTTCAAATACTATAAAAAATAATTAAATATAGAATAAAAATTCAGCTTTGTTCGTTAGCTCGAACATTAATTATTGGGTTGTCGTTTTTGTTGACGGATTCACTCTATACTTTCTTTTGTTTTGTTAACGTGGCCAGAGCATCTAACCTATATTTTTTCTTACTGTATGGGCTTCTAGGTTAATTAGTAAAAAAATTTTTTTTTGTTTAGTTCTTTAGTTTCGTTTTTATCCCAATTTAAAAATGAAAGAACAGGACGTGCACTTCCGACACATTTTATTGTATTACTTCCGAAAAGGCAAGAACGCATCGCAAGCACAAAAGAAGTTATGTGCCGTATATGGAGATGAAGCCTTAAAAGAAAGGCAGTGTCGAAATTGGTTTGAAAGATTTCGTTCCGGTGATTTTTCACTAAAAAATTCACAACGATCTGGCCGCCCAGTCGAAGTGGATGAAACCCATATCAAGGCCATTATCGATTCAAATCGTCACAGCACAACACGAGATATTGCAGAGAAGCTGCTCAATGTGTCGCATACATGCATTGAAAAAAATTAAAAACTTTTGGTTATGTCAAGAAACTTGATTTATGGATCCCTCACCAGTTAAAGGAAATTCATTTGACGCAACGGATTAGCATCTGTGATTCCCTACTGAAACGCAATGAGAATGATCCATTTCCGAGGAAGAACCTAGTTACTGGCGACGAAGAGTGGATAGTTTATAACAATGTTACTCGCAAGAGATCATGGGTGAAGCAAGATCAACCAGCCCAAACAGTATCAAAAGCAGCAGAGATTCACCAAAAAAAGATTATGCTGTGAGTCTGGTGGGATCACAAAGGAATTTTGTATTTTGAACTCATGCCGCAGAACCAAACGATAAATTCAAATGTGTATGTTGAAGAACTCGAAAAACTGAAGGATGCAATTGAAGATAAGCGGCCGGCATTATCAAATCGGCGGAAGGGTGTTGTTTTCCATCATGATAACGCAAGGCCCCCCCCCCTCACATCTTTGGTTACTCGGCAAAAATTATTGCAACTGGGTTGGAATGTTTTGTCACACCCACCATATAGCCCTCACCTTGCGCCTTCGGATTACCATTTGTTTCGTTCCATGCAAAACTCTTTAGATGGTAAAATTTTTAACAACGCGGATGATGTCGGATCACACCTAATTCAGTTTTTTAATAGCAAAGACCAGACATTTTACGAAGGGGGAATTTTTACTATGCCAGAACGATGGAAAAGGTCATCGACAAGAACGGCCAATATCTAATTGAATAAAGTTATATTTTTAAACAAAAATTCCGAATTTACCTTCTTATTTGAAATCGACAATGACTTAGTTGCCAACCTAATAGTTATAAACAGTGAAAATAAACTAATTTAATTTCATAGTACACGAACTGTATATTTGCTGTATTTAATGAGGCCATATAGTTTTCAGTATGAAATTTTACAAAATTATCTCTTAAAATCGCAAAATTAAATTATCTATTCAATAAAAATTGCTAATTACAGTATTGCAGAACGGATTTTGCTAGGTTAATTTTAAAATAAAACAACGTTCGTTCTATTATAAAATACTTCTATGGTTAGTTTTCATGGGATCTACAAAATTTTAAAATAATTAGATTGAGTTTGCCATTCTTCAATTTTTTAATAATCGTTCATTTTTTGTACTTTTTCAAAAGGCATAGTACTCTACGGTGGACTAAAGAAACGCTGGAAGTTAATTCAACCAGTGGCCGAAACCCTTCTTCGTTATTCTAGGTCTTGGCGTTTGATTGTCGATATTATCTTTTACAAGCCTCAAAAGCAAACCACTGTCTCTTCGAGTATCAGGTTATTGAATTTAAAATCAATTTTTCTCCACTACATTTATTTTACATTTTCCTTGTCTCCTTTATGGGCCATTCGTTAAAACGACAAGCCTAATCAATTTTCTCCAGCAATTTAAAACCTACGAAGGCAAATGATTTCACTTTTTATTATTCTAAACCCCGACATATACTAACAACAATTTTATAAATTTCAAGAACACAATAATTACTTCAAAGTTATGACTTGAATTATGAATAAGCATTAGTACATATAGGGCATATAAAAGATTATTTTATTACGAAATATATGACTTTGAAGAAACTAAATGGAAATTATTTATTCAGTTGCACTATTTTTTCGCTTAGATTGTTGCCAGTCAGTCTAAAATTAGGCGTATCAGAAACATCCTGGGATGCTGCACTTAGACTTACTGAAAAGATGTGGCAATCGGCAACGTCAAAGTATTCCAAAACAACTGTCTACCTTCAATACGCGAGCAAAGATGACGATTGTACGCTCTTGTTGACGTCTTCTTGTGAAAGTGTTTTGCACGTTTTATAAGTTTTTCCTACAGTCGAAATGCTATTTTAACATAAAAAGCAATAAATCTCATTTTTTGCTTTCCTATATGGACTTTCTATATTTATATCAAATTTATGAATTGTAAGCATGAATTCTGAAAACTATTGAAAAGAAACTGATTTTGGAAATAAAGCATTAGGATATGCTACAGTGGAATGAGATGGTTAAAAATTGCTAAAGTTATGGACTTGAAGTTCAAGTGGAGGGAACAGGTTGAATGTTTTGTTTGAATAAAGTCTTTAAAATTAAACTACAATTAAATCTCAATAAATATAATTTCTAGGCATTCAATGCAGCCACTGTGAGTTATAATTTTGTTCAATTGTAATAGGCGCGATTCACATTGAGCTCAAAGTTTTATAATTCAACAAATTGAGTTTGTTGGGGGTAAAATTATTAATTGCAAAGAAGTAGTCTAGACTATATTTTCCTCAAAACACTTATGTTAGTTGACATAGAAATTGAGTGGAAGCATAAACGCCTTTTAAGTGATAGAAAAATACAAATTTTCACTTATTTCGAAGGTACCGCTTTTTGGACTATAACTCTATTTAAAGTAAATATTGTTCAACATTTTTTCTACTTCACCAATTTATTTAGAAAATGGATTTTGTTACTATCTATTTCCAAGAGGTATGTTTTACAATAGTTTCGAATTGGCAATACCTGTCTTTTTTCTCTAATTTAGTCACAATACTGTTTTAGCCTAAAATTTGACTTTTTCCGACTTATTCGAATTTAATATACCATTCTTCGTTTTAATAATAAGGTGCCGTTGAACGTAGATGTCGAAAATCATGCTGCTTTCCTGCCTGGATATGTGCCCTCCTGGGAGTCATATCTCTGCCAACATTATTTACTGCCCTACAGATTTACATGGATTTAGGAAATAATACCGCGCAATACAAACTTGGGTCAAAAGTTGCCTTCTTCGCGGCCGCTATTGTAGAAGTAATTGCGATTGTTTCACTCCTTGTCACTGCATACAAACCACTTATTAGACTTGTCAAAGTTAAAAATCGATTTCAAGTGCTCAAAAAGGAGATGAACAAACTTGTACTCAGTAGACAAAAATCAAGAGGTGAGTCTCTACATTTTTTACTCCCTACTTTAGGCACAAATTTGTAGGAAAGCTATTTCGAAAATTCATTAACTTTCCATTTTTTAGTTAAATTTATATTTAAACGGGGGAAATTAGATGCCTGGTTTATAATTTTGGTGAATGGCAAAACAAAATTCACTTTCTGAGAGGAATTTGTTATTTTTACGACTTTAATGCCGTCAAAGTGAATCACTATAGGCTTTTCATATAAAAATTAGTTCTCTACAGATATCTTCAGATATTTTAAAATTAATATTTAAATGCATTGAAATATTAGTCTAACATTATTATTTTTTAAACGAAGGCGTTTCGAATAGTTTTCATTAGCCAATTAGCTGACTTTGTGCTTCACAGAGTGGAGAAACATCAAAGTGAGAAAAATTCGAGAGAGGGAACAGAAGAGCGATTCACAGGTGTAGAAGAGGCAGACAGACAGATACAAAGGTAGAGAAAAGATGAGATGAATACTGTGGAAGTTGTCAAATATGACATACAGTAGTCAGAAGTCAAATGCAGGTGATAGACTTTTTTTGCCGTATGAGTATACGTTGCTCAGGGTGCACCACGTGGAGGTAAGTCTATCGCACACCCCATATTAGTCCAGCGTAGAATTTACTTACTAGTGGGGCATTTAAAGACATCCTGAAATGAGAAAGAGGGCAATAAAATAGTTACTAATCAATAATATGAAAAATTTCTTCCATGATAAAGATTATGTCGCTCATTTCAACACACCGCCGTTTTTATGCCAATTGCAAAATGGCTGTTTGGAGGGGATAGGTTTTGTCACATTTTGCCTAAAGTGACAAAATGACAAGTTTTACTAGATTCATGATATTATGTTCTTGCATTCGGGGTTTGATTCAAAATCAAAGATTAGAAAAGCGATTTTGGGGCAATAATTTATAAAAATTGAATGGTTTAACGAGGAACCATATTTATAGAGATAAAATACTTCCCATCTAATTTACTTACTTTAAAAATTTCGAAGTTTATGTGCATTGAAAATATCTGAAAGACAATAAATTACTGAATAAATAAAACCTCCATTAATTTGAAATAATCAAAATTTTACAAGTCAAGGTTAGATTTCATTAATTCGAAACAAGTATTTATTTATTTCAACTGGCAGACTTTATGATATATATCATTAGCCCTTAATCTTTGACTTCAGCTTCTCCCAAGAAGGGGGGGGGGGAGTACATTTATATCAGTTAATTAATAGCAATTCATTAGCAGTCTTCTTGCTTCCCAGGATCTTTGGCTTGCCGTACTTGTCTTTAGGGCTGGACACCGAATCAGGTGGGTCTTCTCCATTTTCTCATGTAGGTTACATAGAGGGCATGTGGGTTGAGTGTATACTCCCAATCTGTGAAGGTGTTTTGCCAAGCAATCGTGTCCGGTACGTAGTCTGAACTCAGCAACGGCTTCGATTCTTGGCCAGTCGGGTATGTCAGAGATTGCCACTGTCCACTGTTTCTCCTTTGTTCGAGCTTTAATTTCGTTGCACCTTGAGGTCTGGAATTCTCTCCTGATTAAGGCCTTCATTGTGTGGAAAGACATCGGCCGGTCCATGCATTGCAAAATCGTTGTCCCCTTCTTAGCAAGTGTGTCAACTACATCAATGTCCGCTAATGGGTTCATGGGGGGAGAGAGGCTTTTTGGTTTGTCATCGATTTGTAATTCTTTCTTTAGTTCTATGGCTTTCTGTATTAGACCAGAGTGCGTTTTCAGGTGTCTTGGTCTATTCTCATAGGTGCTGAAGAACTTGTCCATGGGAATGCGCAGTAGCTTCTCATACAGATCAAGGCCTTTTCTTTGATAAGGGAACCTATTGTGGTGCTTCCTGTAACTAGGAGTATTGCATCAGTGGGTGTTGATTTTATCCCTCCAGTAATTAGTCGTAATGCTCGGTTGTGTGCCTTCTCGAGTGGTTTGAGAGTCACCTCTGTGGCTGTAATGAGTGACTCACAGCAATACAACATTATTGGCTGAATAAACATCTTGTAAGTGGTGTTGAGAGTTGAGCGCGCCCAGCCCCATACGCTACCAGCAAGACGCTTCAGTACATTCAGTCTATTGGAGACGCGTTCTGCTATTTTAGCAATGTGACTTTTCCACGTTAGCTTTGTGTCAAAAGTCATTCCGAGATATGTGAACTCATTGATTTTTTCTATGGTAGTATCCTTGTACTTTAGAAGCGGGTTTATGCTGTGACGGGGCCAAATAAAATGTTTGGAATGCAGTTTTTGCGGTGTTGATTACCATTCCATTGTTGTCGCACCAGTTTGCTAGTAGTTTAAGTGCACAATTTATGGCACTTTCTGTCCTCTCCTTAGCGTTTTTCTTAGGGGTGGAATACCATAGTACCAGATCATCATTAATTCGAAACAAATATTCGAAATTTGATTATTTGGATAATAAAAACAACTTTTGAAATAAGCCTAGATTAAAATTTAAAAATAAACAATCTTTTTTGCTTTGGTGAATGAATTTAGAGGCTTAATTTAATATTTTAAAAATAGAATCAATTTCCAAACGCTGGATTTGTTTCAAAACTGCGAAATTAGATATATTTTTTCCTAATATATTTAGAATTATTTATTCATCATCACTCTCTTTATTTTACAAATCATAATGTTTTAAGCAGATAATAATTTTAAAAAATCGATAAATTTAAGACTTATTAAACAAACCAAAAAAATCTAACATTTCTCTGTTTATTGTCAACAATCTAAATTAACTACATAATTTAGAGCCATTTCTCTATGGCTATAGTTTACGAGGACTTGAAAGATGGCCGTAACAAAATATGCGAGATGAAAAACATGTAAGTGACCAGCATTTTTGTCTCAATAATTTCAAATCTGGTTTCATTAATATTTTAACCTAATCTTAAGAGAATTTGCTCAAATAATGTTGTATAGTGCTGCAGATCTCATGTTTGCGCTCGTGGAAACTAGGAATATGCCCTTACATTAATCCCAAATAAGGCGAAAACTGAAAGTTCTGGACTTCCTAATTCAAGATAATCAAAATATCGCAAAGGCAGACAAAATCACACAATTGAACCTTGATAACTTTCTTCAAATTTGAGATTTAGAGTGACGCGAATCTATTCTCTTTAAATTTTAAGAAAATGCGAGTGCGATTTTGGAATCGATAATGAATATCCGTAACAAATTACTTCAAAATGTAGCAACTTTCCACTATTTGAGCTCACTAATGAGCAATCGAGAACATTTCTACTTTCTTCATACCACTTAGAGAAAATTAGGTCGTAGTTATCCATAAACCTACCCAAATCAATGGTATTTTTCTCTAATAATGCGTATTTTACTTTTGAGTATGTATTTTTGCACAGTCTTTAAAATATTTTGTGGGAAAACATATAGTGTAGAGGTAGAATTGGAAGCCTAATACTATTGTAATTTTTTCTACTTTTAGGTGACACAAAAATATCTCTTCTATCAGCTGATGAGGATTTAATGGATGAGCGAAGCACCAGTAGCATTGATTCAATGACTGGGCGCATAAATCATAGTCGCAACAGTCAAGCCCAAAAAATGCTGACCTCAACGAAGCAGGCCCGGGATTATTTGCTACACGATGGATTTGATAATTTGGAGAAGGGTGAGGGTGCCGAATCGCAACTGGAAAGTAGGCTTAGAGAGGAAGTCATGGCAACTTGCCATACACTCCATCGTCTAGATGCTAGAAATGATCGACAAACACGCTTTCTTTTGTCCATTGATGCCACTGCAATTTCTGCCAATCTTGCCACTGCACCGCAAAGATTAGCAGAATTCAGTGAACTTTTAAGTCGATTATTCACCTCATCGCCACAGGGAGAGTCCGGTGTGTTATGGTCACTTGACGATGCAAAAGACTTGACTGGACCCGTGAGCATATTAAACATACCGTCTCCTTTATTACATATATATTTATTAAATAACTATTTTTTTCTTATTTAAAATAAAGCAACAATATAGACACAAGAGTTGAATGGAACAGTTGTGCTGTTTTTAATTATAATAATGCTAATTATTGTCGCATTAACTTAACTTGGAGATCGGTAAGAGGACCGAGTTTGGGGAAAAGGCTTTCTCAAAACTAACTAAAAGAGTCTTCAATGAAAATAATAGTTATTTTTATCATCATCAATGCCGTTGTATAAGTAATATTGGTCTTTGTGTTTTGCATCATTTGTTTATATGGGATTCTTTGCGATTAAAGTGCTTCACAAGGCATCAATGATGCTTAAGTTACCTTGAGAAATAATTTTTTAGCTTACCCATCTACTGTTTATTTGCCTCTTTGCTCTTTCGATACGAGACTTTAAGACATTTTAAAAAGCATTTGGGATGCTTCCATACATTAGCGAATGCATTAGGGCAATTCAAGTTGCTTAAACACCCACCCACCCACACACACACACACACACACCCACACACACACACCCACACACACACACCACAGCACTCATAAATTCGCGTTTGGTACGCTAATTGCAAAATAATAATAATTAATATTTAATAATAATATTCTCTTGCAATAAGTTAACTTTCTATTTCCAACAATCCTGACAACCTAATTGGAGTTCATTAATAGTGCTTACAAATCTTCCTCACAATCATTTATACTTTCATTCTACACTGGCACAAAATGTTAATTTCTAATGGAGATAGCGGCAATCCGGTACATTTTTTTAATTTTTTTCAATGACATTTGATTAAAATAACTGCCTTGCTATCGGCACTCAACTTGGTATTTTGTGACAACTATGCAGTGAAACTCGTATCTCACCTCTTGCTGGCCAGAATAAATTAGTCTTGTCCACCATGAACGGCACACATTGAGCACCAGCCAGTGATAGATTCGTTATGACTCCGTGTATTTTTTTCAGACTGATTCGATGAACTCAAAAAGACTCAAAGAGAGTTTACCAAATGTGCCAAATGTAATCATTCTTCTGGTATGTAAGCAAGATATGTCACCGCCTTGTGCCTCAGCACCGGAATCGCGGCCAATCTCCGATTTCTGGCAAAATTCTCTTGACACCTGCCATTTAACTGTGTTTATCGACGAGCCTATGGAGGGTCCTCTTCAAACCCCAAGTGGAAATAACAATCACGCTGTAAGTTATGTGGCACTTGTTGATTTTGAAGGACAAAGCTCAGTCACAGTGTAAAACGGTCTCAATGTCTTGAGGAGAATATTAATTGCATCTTAATTAGAATAGATGAAGAATGATCAGGGAAATCACTCATAAGAAATTCAAATTCTATCAAGTAACAATAATGAATCAGTTAAGGCGACTATTTAAATCATTTGATTTGTACCGATGAACATTATTATATCAAATGCCAGACTTTATGATATTTATAATTAGCCCCTTAGTTGACTTTGGTTCTCATAATGGGAGGAGGAACATATATTAAGGCTTTATGACAGTTAACAGTAGTTCATTAGTTGCTTCGGGCTTCCCAATATCTTTGGGATTCCGTCGTTGTCTTTAGGGCTGGACACCGAATAAGGTGGGTCTTCTCCATTTCCTCATGTAGGTCAAATAAAGGGCATGTTGGTTGAGCGCATGCACCTATTCTGTTGCTATGTTTCGCCAGGCAATCATGTTTGGTACGTAGTCTAAAGTCTGCAACAGCTTCGATTTTTGGCCAGTTAGCTAGGTTGGAGAGTGCCACTGTCCACTGCTTCTCCTTTGTTCGAGCTTTAAGTTCGTTGCTTCGTGAAGTCTCAGTTTCTCTCCTGATTAAGCTCTTCATTGTATGAAAAGACATTGGCCGGTCTATGCCGTGCAATAT